TAATTTTGAATATTTATTAGGAGAATATAAATTTTAATTAAAAGATATTATGTAATTTAAATTGCACTGTTATATAATTTAAACCATTAATTGATGGTCACAAGGCTTAACGATAGGAAAAAAGTTTTTTTGTACTACTTTTTTTTTATTTTTTAAATGCATTTTTGGGTAGTTTGCAATAAATTTTAGCCCACTTAATTTAATTTTTAAAGCCATAGAATTAGATATCTTAGAGAGAATTTTATGCACCTAATTTCCCATCTAATTTCCCATTTAATACCAATAGAATGAGAATATTTAACTAACTCAAATAGTATGTGATAAACACATCTTATAGTAACTTTAAATAGAATGAAATTCACTTTATAGTAATTTTAAATAAAACAAGAACATTTGGCTGACCTAAATAAGGTGCAATAGACTCACGTTATAGTAATTTTAAATAGAACGAGAATGTTTGACTGCTTGCGATAAACCAATGAAAACGATAGAGTCATGCAAATGTTTTTCAATTTATTTATTTATATAATTCGTTGAGATCTCAAAGTTGTTCTTATAATAAAGACAATAAGGGTGCAACCACTTTCTATTTTTTCAAAATTAGAGTTTCCCTAATAGAAAGTTTTTATCTAGAAAATAACATTATTTTGGTTCCGGTATCATCTCCACAATACTGATCTAACATTTAAAAGTGCAATCAACTAAATAAATTAGTTTTTAAAGTGACTTTTAATTAAGTCACAAAAATTATACATTAAAACCTTTTAAAACTTACTTAAAAGCACGTTTAAAAATTAATTTTTAAATTTTTCTCTAACAAAATTTTAAATTTATAAGAAAATTTTTTCATTTTTTAAATAATTACTTTTTAATTTTTTTACCAAACACCTTTAAAATTATTATTGAGTTGCTTAATTTATTGGCATAATCATGATTAGATCTTTTCACATTTTTGTCCTTTTGATTCGGTTTTATCATTTTGTAATTCAAAGTCCGCCCATGAGAGGGACAAAACTTAAGTGATTCAGACAACTTTGTGTAAAACTCAACTTTTAATTTATGTAATTTTCTATTCCAACCAAAAAAGTATATGTATTTATTAATTATTTTAAAAATTTTTTTTGATGGTAATTATTCTAAAATTTAATTGTATAAGAACATTATAAGTGAGTGGATTAAAAAATGTATTGTAATTACAGTGTTATATTTACCGTAGTATGGACTACAAATATGTAATAAAATGAAAATAAAAATGATAAGTTGGGCAAAATTTGTATAAAAACATTAGGAAAAAAAGAAAATTAAGACGATCTAATACTAAAAATGTCAAGACATTCAACAATAATCACATGATAAATTTGATAAAATTATAATTTATATTATATTTTATATATTTAATAATTATAATTGAATATCTTGACATTTTTAACATCAAATATTTTGATTTTTTTAATAGAATCATATTTATTATTTAAATATTTAATTTTTTTATTTACAAATATTTATAATATTAAATATATTAATATATTTAATAATATATAAAAATTATATAAAAAAAATTTGTAAGAAAAATTTGCCCTATATCACTACATGAGTGAATATGCCCATTTTATGTAGATAGACTCACTTTATAATAACTTTAATGGAAAGAGGATATCCGACCACTTCCAACCAACCTTACAAAAGCACGGAAAGTCACGCTTAATGTTTTCCAATTTATTTATATACATCATTCATTGAGATCCCAAAATTGTTCTTCACACGATAGGGATAGCCAGAGTGGAAGAGTTTTCCTAATATAGAGTTTTTATCCAGAAAATGACTCTATTTTGGTTGCATCTTCGTCTCTACGGTGCTGATTCGGCTTCATGTAGAGTAGAACCACCAATTTGGCGTCAATTAACCAATGTGACAAAAAGACTAAATAGTAGTGACTTTGCTATTATTAACCTTGCGCTGTTATGAACCAATGTTTGAACTGAAGCTTCAAATAACTTACCTCCAATGTTTCCAAATATGACAAATATTGTCGAACTTGTTGGAGTAAGGCATCTTAAATAATGTATTTCAATTCCCATAAAACACAGCCATTTTCTATTGGAGTAAGGCATCTTCATGTGAATATTGTAAAAATTTAATCACAATGAACACACTACGATCCTAAGGCAAGCCCGTTATCTTCCCCCATTTATCTAAATCTTCTCATTGAAGAAAGAAAGAAAGAAAAAAAAAAGGCCAAAGCCCCTATTTGCACCTCCATTTATTTTTTTTTTCGTGGTCAACACTTTCCAAAATTTTTTCTCTCTATTCACACCTTCCACTTTTCAAAACCCATAAAAAACTCAATATTTTAACATGCCGTTACGGAACCGTTAAAAAGTGCATTACGTGGCACCCAAAAATTGACATGACATTACGTGGCAGTAGTAATCCAATATAGATCTTTTTTGTTGATAATGTGGTTTATTTTTTGCACACGTGGATGCCACGTGTACAGTAAAACCAATAGAAAATTATATTACTTGTGGTACCAAACAGCAATATAAATATGTCACCTGGATTTTTTTTTTTTTTTTTGTTTATGATGCGGCTGGGTTCCTGGCATGGAATCCAGTTCTGGGTTCTGCGCAGGAACCCAAAATTGGGTTCCACGCAGGAACCCAGAATGGTTCTGGGTTCTGCGCAAGAACCCAGAACCATTCTGGGTTCTTGCGCATGGAACTCAGTTCTGGGTTCCGACGAGGAACCCAGATCTGGGTTTTTCGACCATTTTTTTTATTTTTTTATTTTGAATATATTTATCTTGGTTTTCTATTTTATGCAAAGCAATTTGGAATAATTTTTTTGTTGGAAATGTGAGTTTTTTTGCTTGGAGATTGTTTTTGAACAGGTTGCCAATTGTCAATTTGAGTTCAAGTAGGATTAACATGAATGGCAATAACGGTTTTTTCATTTTTTGTGGGAAAGGGGTAGAAGATGCATATTTGTTTTTGTGCAGTATTCATTTATTTATAATTGTGTGGATGAAAATCTTAGCTTAGTAGGCATTCATGTCAAATTGGTTGCACAAGAAACTCAGAACCCGGGTTCTGTGAGGAACTCAGGAGGACAAGGACGAGGATGGGGAAGATGATGCCAAGAATGAAGAAAATGAAGAAATTAAAATTAATTATGATTTAATTATAATGCATTATAAAAAAAAAAAAGTCCACATGGATTAATAAATGTGACATAACGTCTTGGTTCCTAATTCCATGAGGAACCCAGGAGGATGAAGAGGAAGATGATAAAGATGAAGTTGGGAAAGAAGAAAATCAGGAGGATGAAGAGGAAGATGATAAAGATGACGTCGAGAAAGAAGAAAATGAAAAAATTAAAATAAATTATGATTTAATTATGCCATGTCATAAAAAAAAAGTTTACATTGGATTAATAAGATAACATAACGATTATATTACTGTTTGATGCCACATATTATAATTTTTAACGGTTATTAACGGTTTCGTAACGGCACGTTAAAATATTGAGTTTTTTACGGATTTTGAAAAGTGGAGGGTGTGAATAGAGAGGAAAAATTTTGAAAAGTGTTGACCATGAAAAAAAAAAAAATGGAGGATGCAAATAGGGGCTTTGGTGAAAAAAAAAAAAGAACGGTGATCATTTTCATCTTGATCACGTAAATGTAAAATAAAAGGCTTTAAATTCTCTTTTCCATCTCTCCTAACAAATTGCCATGAAACCGACTCAAAGATCAGTTAATTAAATGCTGAGTAACATCATCGCTGAAATGGAAAAAACAAAATCCCAACCATCACAGCAAGTATTTCATAAAACTTTCCTCTCCTTTTCATCTATCGCCACAAAATAATTTTGGCTACTAACCAATAGCATCATGTTTCTTTCAACCATTGATAATCATAGGACAGGACTGGGCATTTTGTTGGGCATTGGGCCACATAATAATCACTCAAGTAAAACAGTAAACAACCATCCAAAATGGTATTCCGAAATTGCAATAAATTGTAACCATGGCCAATTGTAAGCATGCAATTCTTCAGAGACTTCAACATTCATTGAGCAGGAATCCCACCCACCCAAACTCTGGGGCAATGCCCAAACAAAAAGGGCTTGTTTTAATTAAAGATTTTTTTAGTACACAAAACAAAAGTGTATTTATTATATTTTTTTTTCATTAATATTTATGTGTCATATATGTTAAAATTAATATTATTTTTTTTAAATTTTTTATGTAAATTAATGCATGAAAAGTATACTTAAAACTTCCTTAACCTGTGCTTAATTAATTAAACTTGGGCTTTAATTGTACTGTTATTGCTTTATTGGGAATTTTTAGAGAATTAAGAGGGATCGATTTTTTAACCCTTTATTAATGACTTAAAGATATGGTACGTTCATGAAAAAATGCAGGCATTTGCTGTCGCAGCCCAAATATCGAAGCGGGGAGCTCAAGGAGAGGCTGTCGAAAGCCAAAGAATGAGGCGTGAAAGCCAAATATTGAGGAGTGAAGCTCTACTCTCTATGAATCATTTGTTTAGTTATATCTTAGATATAAATTAAAAATATATTAAATATATTTTTGTATAATAAATTTATATTTAAAAAATAAAAA